TCGTTCCCAAGCCTGTAGCGCTGCATAGGGTCCTCACCATAGTCCAGTGTAGGGACATCTCTTCCCAGTTCACCCATTCTGGGACATGTCCTCCCAATTAAAAGGGCTTTGTCTGCTCCCAGTGCCACCACTGCTGCCAGCAGGGCTCAGACTGAGAAACACAGGCCTTGCTCCATACACCAAGAATGCAGCATATGTTCCCCAAACACAGATTGTGGGCTTCTTCAGTAGAGAGCAGATGTTCTGGGTGCTTCAAGGGAAGCTGTTAATTCGCTTTGACTTATAACCAGTGTAATTTTTAAAAAAGATTCTCTAGGAATTGTGGCACTTAGTGTCAGGAGGCCTCTCAGCTCATCCATCACCACAATGGGAACGCGCGGTTATTTTGCTGTTAATCTTCATAATCGCCCTCGCACGCTGACAAACGTGCCACAGAGAGCAAAACGCTGCCGCCTCCATTGCCTCTCGGTGGAAATGAGTCCAAAAAAGGGGGAACGGCTCTGTGGTACCAAGAAGGGACCACAGCCTTGGGGGGAGCCGGGACAGCCATGGGTGCAGGCTCTGCCAAGGGAGCAATGGGAGACAGCAGTGGTTTTGAAACTGGGCGATCCCGTGGGATTTGGGACCGTGGGAGATGTTAATGTACTCGCCACTGAGCAGAACAACTCTGTTGGTAAAAAATCAGTGACAAAAATGAGCCTTAATCTGAACCGCACCGCTTGCCAAAGGCAGCATCTGCCTGCTGGCCAAGTCCTGCCTGAATTGAGCAGGTTAGGGAGAAATGAAGAATTATCAGAAGATATTAAGAAGGTGCGCGAGGCACAGGAGATGCAGCTCTGGGTGTGTGACAAGCAGGGACAATCTGGGAGATTGATGGGACAGGAGTATTTATTTCACGTCTGTATACTGGGGCCAGTCTGTGCTAGTTGCCCAGCTGGTGGAAAGCTGGTGTATTTGAGTAATTAAGCAGTTAAAGCTTCTGAAAAAGTGACATATTGTGGGCAGGTTGGTGGGGTTTAAATGTTTAAAATTATTTGAAAACTAATCTAGGAAAAAATGCTTTATTCCTCGCAATTATTACAGGGCCGAAGGAAGGACTTCTCTGGGGTTTCAGCTTGTGCTGAAGTTAACAAGCATAGACTTCTTTGAGCTTAAATTGAACCCTGAATTTTCTGAGCTTCTGGTTTAAATTATTCCTGGACACTGTTTAAGAATTAGTCCCAGGTCAGCCTGTGCTGAGGCCCCATCCCCTCCTGCTCGGTTGCTTCTTGCTGTGTCCTGTACCTGCGAGCATCTCTGCTGTGTTGGGGTGATGAGCCCTGGGCTGTGCTGTGCCATTGATCCCTCCTGTGCAGCACAGGCAACTCGCGCCCATAGCAGCGCTTGCCAACCAAAAAAATGTTCCCCAACGGCAGGAAATCCCCGAGAACGCGGCCGACACGGCTCACCTGGCTTTCCTGCATGGACCAGCGATTCTGGGTGGATCCGATCTCAGGTACATGAGGTCCAAGCTGTGGGATTTCATGAAGCACATCTGGAAGGTAAGACCCGAGCTCCCCTTTTAGCCATGAGGAGGATGAAGTCTTTCAAACCAGGTCCCCTTTCTGCCTCAAAACATCAGTCCCACCTCACCCCCTCTGCTACAGCCCCACCTCTTCAGGTCCCATCTCTTTTCTGTGTCTCTGAGGGTCTCAGCTCCAGACGATCTCCACCGCCAGCTCTTGTCTCCATCTCACTGCTGTCCCCCCAGCCTGTACCCCCATCTCCCATTGCTCAGACTGAGCCAACCCTTCTCCACCTCTGCAGGCCAAGTGGCAGCCAGAGCCGGAGCCCAACGAGCACTGCTCCCGGATGCTGGTCCAACACAGCACAACCGTCTTTGGGAAGCACTTCTCCTTGATGGATCTGACGGTTTCGGCCAGGCAGGTATGTCCTGTGCTGGGGACCACCAGCACCCTGAACTGAGGGGTTTGTCACCCAAAAGACTGAGTCCTGGCCCGCCCTGCCCTTTTCCACCAAGGCACATGGGCCAAAAACTGCTCATGGCATTGGGGTGCTCCACAGCCGGGCAGCATGGAGAAAAGGGATGTTCTGTAAGGACTGCTGTGCCCACAAAACAACGGGGAGAAATAAGAAGCTGGTACCGTGGGCAGCAATCCTGAGAGATCTTCACAGCAGATTGGCACAGCTCTTTACGATACGATGTGTGGACCTTTCTGGTCCATGGTGAACGAATCTGGGAAGGTCAAATGGTTGGCAGCAGCGTTTCTTGTAGGCCAAGATCAGCCCTGAGTGAGAGGAGTTAAGGGAAAATAGAAATAACGCCACTAAACATGAATCAATGGGAAACAGATCTTCTCACTTCCGTTTCTGGTTGTGGTTTGTTTTCTTTTGATGAAATGCTAAGCTTGCCTGATAAAACCATAACTTTGTTCTAGTACATTTTTGAAGTCTTTTGACCTTTTCCCATATTACCAATTCAGAACAAGAGCAAAACAAGTCATGATAGAAAACTCTGATAACGGATGGATTTTGGTGTAACTAAGAAATTAACACAAAGTGGATGTTGATTATATCTGTTAAATTCTTAGATCTGTGCTATTTAGCACTAATATCAATGAACAGGACAAAAAAGACATTAAAATAACCTTACAAAGAGTTTGTACCCAAGCAAACATTAAAGGAGCAGTTAATAAAGTAGCTGAAAACCCCAGCAATAGCTGCACTGCTTCATAGACCCAAGTGTGTGCCCACACATCCGTGTGTCTGGATGCACGTCGAAGAGCACAGACCAAGGACTTCACGTCGTGCAAGATAAAACGCTGAACCTTATTTCAGCTAAAACCTGATGTGACTGTTGAGGTTGCAAAGGAGAAAGCCAGAGCAGGAGTAGGGATGTTGTACTACATCCGTATCGTGTCGCAATTGCAGCTACTGAGATCAGAGCCCAGTCCAACAAGGCCGTTGATGGCCTGAAGGTAATTCAGTGATGAGCAACAAGGGCAAGTGAGAATTTGGAAGCATTTCCTACAAGATCAGATTTTTAAAACTTTTTGGGACCAGCAGAGCACTGCAAACCCTCATGAATTCCCATGGGCCCATAGCAAAGCCATCTGTGAATATCCCAAGCCAATGGGACACCTGTGAATGTCCCTGCCCTGGGGAGCATCAGCAGCTGGCAAACAGTCTGTGTGTCATAGGACATAGCTTGACTTTGTACCTATTATCTGATGAAAGACAGAGTAAAGGGACACTTCAGCATAGCCTAGGAGACATCTCAAGCATGTCCCAAGCTGTGGGAGTTGTTGTCCAGTTGTCTGGACCACCGGGGACTGTTTCCTGAGGGTGCTCTGTTGCTCTGCAGGTGGGGCCAGGCTTGGTTTTCCTGACCCTTGAACATGCTTTCCTGGGCCATGGGGTGATCCTGCAGACGGTGACTCCCCTGGAGCCTGTCCTGCAGAATGTTGTCCACAAAATCTACTACCAGAAGAACGTGCCGGCCGTAATCCCCAAGTTCATCCTGAGAGCAGAGTGCACACAGGTAAGACCAGCCAAAGGTGGATCTTGGTGGGTAGGAGGGTTGAGAAGAGGGAGCAGTTGCCCATGTGGGCTCAGATACACATGGGAGCAAAGCACTCATGGGCAGGATCCTTCCAGTGCCTGGTACCATCCTTCAGTTTTAGTAGCCCAAAATGCTAAACTCCTTGGGTGACCCATTCCGTTAATGCTCTACCCACTCTGCTGATTTTATTTTTAATGCCCATTTTGAACTTCTCAACCTGTGGCTGTTACTCCTTGTTGTACCAGCAGGCACTACCAAGAAAATCCAACTCTGTCATCCCTGGCCCTTCCAAGCAGTCAGAGCAGTTCACGTCATTCACTTCGGTCAGGGGTTCAAGCTTGGAAACAGTTTGGTCTGATCAGAGAGAGCTTCACTGGCACTGCAGCAGAAATAGCCACAAGACAATTCTCAGATGCTCAAACCCACCCCAAATCAAACTTGGCTGTGCTAACTCATATTTTATAAATGCTGGCTTAATATTTTGCATTCTTACTAATGTGAATAAGCAGCTGAGACCTCTTCACAGAGGAAAACTCCATAAATCTCACTGCCTGTGTGCCTGAGCAGAGTTTAAGATGTGGGTGCTTAATTTATAAGCCCTTGGTTGGCTGGAGCCACCCAAAGAATCAAAAAATCTGAGGTGGAGCAGCTCCTACCTACACTACATCCATTTCTTTTTCAATAGCTCTTATGACAAAGGCAGTCTATGATGAAAATGACTTCTTGTTTGAGAGCTGTGATGGGCTAAACACCTCCCAGATGCAGACAGAGCTGCAGTGTTACGAGTTATGAATAGCTGTCCCACACCGACCATTTGGGAAAAAACACTAAAAACTAAACCCGAGCCAGGCAGCACGCACAAAATGCTGGTTCAGCTTCCCCACCTGAATGGGCCTGTCCTTCTCCCCGCAGTTTGAGCGCGATATCACCATCTGGAATAACAAGCAGTACCTGCCCAAGCCGCTGCTGGTCAGGGAGGACGCCAGCATCCAGAAGCACCGGCGCTGGTACGCCCAGTTCTACAGCGAGCACAGCAAGAGGGCCCCGGCGCAGAACGGGGGCCTGGACTGGTGAGGACCCCGCTGTCCTCTGCAGGAGGTGACCAGAGGCGCTCAAGGTGGCTCCTGCCCACCCCGCTGGCTTCGTCCATACAATATTGGTACTGGCACAGGGAGCAGAGCCTGGAGATCCTCTGTTACCGTCTGTGTTCAGGGTTGCTCTGCGCTGCAACGTATGAGCTGAGCCTGAAGTTAAGCTGGCCAGAACTGCCTTTAAGTGCCCTTATCTCTCGCTGCTGCTGTAATTTTGAGTAGTTGTATGAAAAGCTTTTCACGTGGCCTTGTATTGCCTGAAGTGTCCTTTCCCGGCCGGACCTGCTGCTGCTTCTGCACCACCACTTTGGCTGGGGCCAGCTGCAGTGATCCAGGGCAGCCTTGGCCGGCGTCTGCACAGCATGGGGGTGTGATTGCAGAGCCCACAGACATACAGCATCATCCTTCTCTCTGGCAGCAGGCAGGCTTTTAGCTGCCCACCATGATCTTACTCTTCCTGTGGGCTTCATTGAGCCTGCTGAGCTCTTCCATGAGTCAATTCCTCATGGAGACACTGCTCCTGGTTGGGAAGCAGAGGACTATCCTGGAGATCAAATCTCTTACACTGACAACACCTCTGCAGGCCAAGGGTGTGAATAAGACCCTGCTTTGAAAGCCCCTGGGCTCCAGCAATACCCTGGGTACATGGTTGGCTGTAAAAATTCATGTGTCACGAAAAGACCATGGGTATAACTGTCACTGTGGTTAAAAATGAAGCCAATGCATGGAAACCTGGCTGCAAATCTGGCATAAACTGGTCTAGATTCTCCTGTGCCTCATGCCTGGATGGTCTGTACTGGAGGGCTAAGTTTGCCTTGCTGCATACCCTGGAGAAACTCCTCATCTCCAGACAGAGCCCTGTACAGCAGGGATCTGGTGGTTCCTCTGTGAGCAAATGTTCAGATCCCAGAGCTTTCTGAGGAGGCTGGAGCTGCTGCTGTGCGCTTGCCTGTGCCTGGTGACTTCTGTGCTTTGCTGGGGCTTCTGGTTCCTCCTTCACCACAGACCCATGGAGCTGGGAGCAGGAACGTGCCACCGCAGCCCCTGCACACAGATGGAGCACACAGGCTCCATCGCCCACCCTGACGGCATCCCAGATAACAGCGTGCAGCTCTGCCTTTGCCGTTCACATCTGGCTATCGCACTGTCAGTATTTCACTATTAAATTCCTTTTTAAATCTGGTCTCATGTTCATGGTTTGTTGTTCCTGTTTTGGGGGGTGTTCTTGCATGGGAGCAGTGATGCTGCAGCTGGCCCATGCTGTTGAGGAGTCACAGGGGATCTCCAGCAAGGAGCTTCAGGAGACAGCGGGGGCTGGGACAAGGAGCGTTGCCCACCTCAACTGCCTGAGCCTCCCAGGGACTGAGAGCACCAACACATCTCAGTGGCCCTGGGGTGTTCACCCACTCCCTGCCCACAGCCCACGAGCCCCATTTCAGTTCAGCTCTGCACCTCCAGTCCCTGTCCTGAGCTGGGCTGTGGGACGTGTCCAGCTCAGCCCAGCTGAGCTGAGCTCTGAGCACAGACTGCCCAGCTTCACCTCCACGCCATCCCACCCCTGTGGGCCTGGGCTGTGTCTGACCCTGGCTCCCATCACCAGAGCACAACCCTGAGCTCTGAGCACAACCCTGGGACTGACTTCCCAGCTTGACCGCATCACCGTCAGCTTGACTGGTGACCTGGACTCTTGGTTGAATCACACAGAATCACAGAATCCCAGCATGTCAGGGGTTGTCAGGGCACTCTGGAGCTCCCCCAGTGCAACCCCTGCCACAGCAGGATCACCAGAGCAGTCACACAGGAACACGGCCAGGGCTTTGGGTGTCTCCACACAAGGAGACTCCACAACCTCTCTGGGCAGCCTGGGCCATGCTCCATAACCCTCACACTCACAAACTTTGGCCTCATCTTCAGCTTGAGCCTCCTGTGCTCCAGCTTGGGACCATTGCCCCTTGTCCTGGCATTGGCCATCCCAGAGCAGAGCCTGGCTCCTTCCTCCTGACACTGCCCTTTCCCAATGGATCCCCAGGAATGAGGCCCCCCCTCAGTCTCCTCTGCTCCAAGCTCAGGAGCCCCAGCTCCCTCAGCCGCTCCTCAGCAGGAGATGCTCCTCGCCCTCCAGCATCTCTGTGGCCCTGCTGGACTCTTTCAAGCAGTTCCTGTCCTTCTGGAGCTCGGGGCCCAGCACTGGACACAAGATTGCAGCTGTGGTGTGAGCAGGGCAGAGCAGAGGGGCAGGAGAACCTCTCTGCCCTACACCCACCCCTTCTCATCCAGCCCAGGCTGGCGTTGGCCTTCTTGGCTCAAGGGCACATTGCTGGCTCATGGGCGTTGCTGCCACCAACACCCCAGGTCCTTTTCTGCTGTGCTGCTCAAGGTTGAGCCTGGCCATCACCTCTGGGCCTGCCCTGCTCATCCTGCTTGGGGGTGATGGGGCTCCCCTGTGCTCCCATGTACAGCATCTCAAGGTGAATGAAACCCCAAGGAAGGCAAATCAGTGAGGATCCCAGCAGACATGGGGAGTTAAACTGGCTTTGCTGGATTCCTCAGACCTAGAACTGCAGAAAACCATGGGGTACTTCCAGCAGAGCCTGAATTTGTGCTACCATTTCCTTTATTACTAAGGCTAAAGTAGTTGTGACCTGTTAAAGCAGAAATTAGAGAACTGGGAAATAAGACAGGATTAGCTTAAGCCTCTTACGTTTCCATTTGCAATCTTATTTATCTCTTTAAATGGGTCTAGCAAAAAGGACAATTTGGCGCTGGGAGACACTGGCGTGCCAAGGAGCACTGCCCTCCAGTCTTCTGTGCCTTTGGGCCACACGTTATCCACTTAACATTTCTAGATTTCTGAACAAATCCTAACCCCTATCTGGTTGGGATGTCAGGGTATCTGGCTTTACTGTTTACTGAAATTACTTTTACATCAAATGCACTGCAAAGCAACAGCCATTCTTACTATTACATCCCGATAGTTGTATTTTATTGTGGCTTATCTTCACTCATGAGAGTTTATCCACTTGCCAGATCTATCGCCATTCCATGTCTTTGGGTTTTGTTTTTTCCCCCCAATTAACAAATTCATGACACATCTCTTAACTCTCAAGCACAGGTATTTTTTCCTTGCTTTTTTTTTTTCTTGAAGGGAGCGAGGAGTCAGGTTAGAAAACTCCAATGGGTTTCCAAACAGGTCAAAGAAAGGGATGCATGAAGGGTGATGGACAACGTACCTTGGATTCTCCAGGGGTAGACCTGGCCTCCTCCTCCTCTGAACCCTGGTCCGTGTCCTTGCTCCCCCACGACAGCTCCTGGCCATTGGGGTTGGCTGGGAGGGGGGTCCTGGAGCTCCACTCAGCACCAGCACAGCTCCTGTGTGCACAACCACCAGTGACCCCACTCCCAGTGCATCCCAGTGACCCTGTGAGACGCCTCCATGCAGGCCAAGCCCGGCAGAGCCTCTAAGCTGCGACCTTCACTATTTGGCTCTCATTATAAATACCTGCCAAGGGCCTTGATTTGTGGAAAACCCATTAAAATAACCCCAACCAAACCCATCAAACCACCCCTCCTGCTGGCGAAGCAGCCTTGGTTCCCTTTCTCCCATGTACAAACTGGTGAGAGGAGCAGGTTCACTGTCCTGGCAACCACACGGGACAGAGGATGCTCTGGAAAACGCCCCAGGGATGCAGGGAGGAGCCCACCGTAAAGGTTTGCCGCTGATGGGGTCCATCAGAGACCGCTGCTGAGGTTTCGGACACTTTAACGGGTGTCTTCCCTCTTCACATCATCACTGGGTGATGTCCCCATTCAGGTGCTTGAAAAATAGAAAACCCCAGACACCGCTTTGTTTGGTTTTTTTTCCTAAAGGTCGTTTTATTGTAAAACCATAAATACAACACTGACATGAAAATCCTCAAGCAACGGATGCTTTCTTACAGTTACAGTTTGTCTTCTGCCTTGGCATCAACTCTGAAAAGAATGTTGCAGAAACACATCTCTAAGAGATCTCCAAATGAGAGCGCTCAGCTCGTTTGGAAGCTAAGTGGAACTATTCCTCCTCCCTCGGGGAATATTTCCATTCAGACAGCAACAGACTTGTAAAAACAGCAACATTTAAACACCTCGATTTATTTATTTTTTGTTTTCTCTTTAATAATCCTTTTCATTTGACATCAGTCTAAGTTTCAAACAGCACTGAATTTATTTAGCTGTAAAAAAAAAAAAAAAAAGAAAAAAAAGAAAAAAGGAACCAAAATTAAAACCAAAATGAAACGAAATCCTAAAAAGGAAAAAAAAAAAAACCAACCAAAGAAACCAAACAACTCAGAAGAACTTGAGTTGGCCTCAAGCGTTCATATATCACAATGAAAATCAGCAACTCAACCCCGTGCAATATTGCTCTCTATTGAGTCATTCGATCCACACCAACAATACATGAGACTTCAAACAGGTTTTGTTTTGTTTATTAACACAGCAAGTGTGACATTAGATAACCTTTTAAATACAGTACATGGTACAGCGCGGGGCCGGCTGCCCGCACTTTTCTCCATTATGAAGACAAAGCCAGCGGTGGCGGTTTATAAAAATATTGTGTTGCTACAAAAGTATAAATTAATGCTACCGGTATTAAGAAATATTAAACACATAAAACTTATAAGGATTAAGAAAAATATTCATTAATACCTGTAGAAAACTCTGGCCTAAAAAAGATATTTTTTGTATATTTTTTGTATATTTTTTTTTTTTGTATTTTTTACGATGACATGAGATTCTTGCACTCGCAGGTAAGAGACACACGCAGGTGCATCTGTGGTATTGCCTAGAACATCTGCATCTACAGAAAGGAAGGAGACGCACACGAGTTACTGAGGGGAGGAGGGCGCGGGGGGGAAGGAAGGAGGATGCTCACTCTGTCTGTTTGCGGGATGCTCACTCTGTTTGCGGGATGGAGCCACCAGAATTCAGCTCCCAGCAGGAGG